ATTAATCCCACATTGGACATAACACTAGAGTATTTAAATAATACTCCAAACAAAGAAAATATTGACTCTACTATACAGCCTACCAGGAGCAGCCAAGGATTAGAAGAGATAACGGCCATCGGAGAGAAATGGAGCTGTGGTCGGGGTGGAGTTTGTACAACCTGCACTAACACAATAGCTCACCATGATTAGAAATTGTGAAATGCAATGTAAAATTACCGAACAAATACCAGCTCACTAAATCACAACCGCTCAAACCAACTACCGCGAATTGGGCAGAGAAGGAGTCCGAGAAAGTTGCTCCCCCATGTGACGCGTTTGACCTGAATTCCCGTAAAACATATGAAATCCTGCATTCACTTTTTTAATTGTGGTTTTCAGGCAAGGTTAAGCATACATTCAGTAAAAACAAAACCCTGCAAGTTGCTCTTTAAGTTGAATTAATGATCTGGCTTTTGAGAACACAAGACAGGGACATTTTCACCCAAAAATAATCTACTTTTAGATTCATTCAGACCGGATTTACGTGTGTAGATGAGGTGTACTGAAAAGAGACATTAGCAGAGCAAGACATGGAAAAAATTGACATGTTTATTAGCCTATATTTCCTATATTTAGTCAAAGTGTCTCCACAATAAGTATTCTGAACATGTTTAGGCAACTCCTGTTCAAAGTGCACCTATATATGTACAAATAACATCACTGGATGACTTTGATACTGAGGAAGCAGCATCTTAATAAAGTAGATGAATAGGCATTTATTCAGAAATAAGGAAATCCTAGGTAAGTGTATAAGTCACACTCGATGACATCAATGTGTTTAAAGCCTTCACATTTCAGTTTTGAACAATACGAGTGAGATTTATTACTTTCATTCACTTCCAGCAGGATCTTTGCCACCTCTCTGTTGAGTGTCCATGTTTATTGTTGTACTACATACAATAATAACATTTCACCATGGTTACAATGCCCTGAACGAAGCGTTAATTAAAGTGGAGGGTTCACTCTCCTCCTCTGGTGTTTGTCTGTGGAACAGCAGCAGCCACGTTATATTATATGTGTTTGTTTATCTGAAAGTCCTCTGGTTGTTCAACATCCGATAGATCTAATGAATTTCTCTCCTTGTGTCTTCTGGTTCGTCCGACAGTCCCTGAAGCTCCCTGAGACCCTGAAGAGGAGGAAGAAGCCAATCAGAGACTTGAACACTACACAAACAACATATCTTCGATTTCTAAAGGAATTAAATATCAGAACCAGAGGTCGCGTTAAACGAATATTTTCCGTCTATGACAGATTTCTTTTTTAACAATGACGGAAAAATCTGAAAGCAGTCCGTAATTTTGACAGATTAGAACAAACTCGGAACAGCGCCAAAGCCTCCCCGCAGCGAGGCTCCGGTGTTATACATTACATGTCACTTGTTACACGCTTTTATACCGTTTCCAGACCTAACTTTGCCGACATTGAAGTAAGTAAGTGTCTGTCTGTCTGTCTGTCCGTCATTTTGTCTGTCTGTCTGTCTGTCATTTTGTCTGTCTGTCCGTCTGTCTGTCTGTCATTTTGTCTGTCCGTCTGTCTGTCTGTCTGTCATTTTGTCTGTCTGTCTGTCTGTTATTTTGTCTGTCTGTCCGTCATTTTGTCTGTCTGTCTGTCATTTTGTCTGTCTGTCTGTCCGTCATTTTGTCTGTCTGTCCGTCATTTTGTCTGTCCGTCATTTTGTCTGTCTGTCCGTCATTTTGTCTGTCTGTCTGTCCGTCATTTTGTCTGTCTGTCCGTCATTTTGTCTGTCTGTCATTTTGTCTGTCTGTCCGTCATTTTGTCTGTCTGTCTGTCTGTCTGTCCGTCATTTTGTCTGTCTGTCCGTCTGTCTGTCTGTCTGTCTGTCCGCCATTTTGTCTGTCTGTCTGTCTGTCTGTCTGTCTGTCTGTAAAGGCCGACGGGTAATACTGGACGGGCAGCGAAAAAGTCTAGCGCAACATAGTCAAATGTTGCAATATGTTGTGGGTCGAAACAAAAATCTGTAGTATGTCTGAATAATGTTATTAAAAGAACAGAGCATATAAGAAGAAATATTGGTAAAATTAACCAAAACATATATGTAAAATATCCTAAAAATGTCAGGAAAATATAAACAAAAATCTTGATAAATTATCAAAAGGATAGAAGTCGAATTTTCAAAAGATATCAGTAACATTAAAAAAGATATTAGTAAAAAATCTTTAACATAATAATAAAACACCTGGAAAAATATAGTTAAAGAATTAATATAAACTTAAGTTAATTTGTATATAACGTTACAAATAAGACTAAATGAGACAAACTTTTCTCTATAGTGAAACATACTGATATCACTGTGACATGTTCCTGGGAAAAAACTTCCACCACTGCTTCGGATGAAAGAGTGGCATTTCTTATGATTTGATTCATATTTACTATCATCCACGAGGAACAGTCATAGCATGGTAGATTAATAATGAATTGTATATATAACACACTGACCTCCAGCACCATGCGGATGTGGGCTTTAATCTTAGCCGAGTCTTTGGTGAGCTGCTCTGTGAAGCTGAAACACAAAGCGTTAGCACAGTTAGCATCTCTCATTCACAACAATAACCACAACTAGCATCAAGCTAACTCGTTTCCCTGAAGTCAGTTTTTCTTTATCAAACTCACTAAAATGTAACGAGATACAGATATTTGAATAAGAAGCATGGTTTATGTGTTCTGTGAGATGAAGGTGAACTGACGCTGTGAGCTGACTCGTCTTCTTCTCGATGAATCGCAGAGCTTCGTCGTGGGTCATCTCCAAAAGAAGCCGAAACCGACCGCCACAAAGATCTTAGACGAGTCCTCCCTGACAGAAGAAGAAGAGTGAAGTCAGAGTCCTGTTCATACAGTTTGTGATTAGTCAGTATCGATAGGGTCTTTTAGAGTTGTCGATCGGCTTCTTACACTTCAGCCTGGACGAAGAAGTTACAGCCGAGATCAACATCTGTCTTCAGCTTCTGACAACCTGTATCCTACACACACACACACACACACACACACACACACACACACACACACACACACACACACACACACACACACACACACACACACACACACACACACACACACACACACACACACACACACACACACACACACACACACACACACACACACACACACACACACACACCACACACACACACCACACACACACACACACACACACCACACACACCACACACACACACACACACACACACACACACACACACACACACACACACCTTAGTAAGACTGTATATAGTAGAGTAGTACATGTATTCAATATGTTCTTTGTATTGGATATTATTTTAGATACTCTAGTGTTATATGTCCAATGTGGGATTAATAACGTATCTATATATCTAGCTATCTAATACATATACACATTTTTGTCACAGATTTCAAACAGACTGTTTCTTATAACTAAAAAAATACAATCATTTCTACAATATACAGTGTACTAATGAAGTGTGTGTGTGTGTACCTGCAGACTCTGTATGGTGTTCTTCAGCTGCAGATACTGAGAGATCTTCTCATAAACGGAGTCTCTCTGTTCCAACACCTTCCTGTCAAACAACACACAAACAAAACAATATACAGAATCAAAATAATGAACTGTTTCTCGGTAATTATAATATTAAGAATCTAAATGCATTCAAATCTGTATAATATTCTTATTTATTAATGAAAGTCTCTTACTGTAAGTCTTTCTTCAGAACTTCATGAATAAAGTTTTCATACTGCAGAACCTTCGGGTCCACGTTAGCATTAGCATTAGCATCCAGAGGTGGAGACATCTTCTCTGTCTTTCACTTTAAATCCCGCCGTAATGAAGATAAACTCCTCCGTTAACCGGCAGAATGTCTGACTACAGTAAACGTTAACGCTTTTGATTCATTACTGATCCACAAAGTGTCAGACAGACGGACAGCATGCTGAAGTAAACACGGATCTGCACCGGATGTGGATTCACAAATGCTTCCGGGTTTTCAAATTAAAATCCGCATGTTTTTGTTTTTTGTTGTTTCAGAAAAAGACACATCACATCAGAGTTTATTGAATGCATTTCTGCCCTTTATAGTATTTATTTGACAGATAGTCTACAGGTTTCTATCCTTCACGGTCAACTTGTATATATTTAACTTTTTTGTTCTGTTTTATTTTGAATGTTTATATTTTGTATTGTTTATTTTCTACTCAATGTGCAATGCAGTGTTTTAACCTTAACATGCTGCTGTGACGAGGAAAATCCCAATTTGAGATCAATAAAGTACATTTGATCTTACTATCTATCATTATTAACACACAAAACCTGAAAAAACAAAATAAAAAAATAAAATGAAGGTGTATGGAAGCTAATTAGCGACTTACATTCACTCAATACTGTGTATGTCCCCCAAAAACAAAATCCAAATTACATCACAGTCGTATATACATATAGTCAGGTGCTCACAGTTTTCAAAACAAATTGGTGGTTCAGATGTCTATGCTTTGGTTCTTCATGCAGGTGCTTGAGGTTCAACACCCTGAGGAGGGGCATTTATTGTCTTATGCTGATGTTGAATCTGGAGAAATTGTCCACACCACTTTTTCTAACAAAGTGACGCTCATGTATCCATCTATATCTATCTATATCTACATCTATATATACATCTACATCTATCTATATCTATATCTATATCTATATCTATATCTACATCTATCTATCTATCTATCTATCTATCTATCTATCTATCTATCTATCTATCTATCTATCTAAAGCAACCAATAAACAATGGAGACATTTTGAAGAAGCAACATTTGTGGATGAAATATTTTTGCTATAATATTCAAATGACTATTTTCAAATTCTGTTTTCTAATTGAAGGTCAAATGTGACGTTTTATTGTATATGTATTATATGCTGTTATTTGCGGTACGTCCCCTTTAAGAGACTCTGGCTCCTCACAGTCGAGGCAGACATTTTTCAATGCAAGATTTTTGGCTTGCATAAATTATGTTCATGACGTAGTGCAAAAGGCCAATTTTGTGGCAATTTTGCGCGGCTTTGCAGCTCATATAGGATTCACTTAGACACCGGGAGGATTTGTGACTATCTTAAGTGTTGCAGAAAGGGCGACGTCATTAAATATTAAGGCAGGGGAGATCCTATCATTTGCAAGCCTCCTCCTTATCAATGCAAATACCTCTTTTGTGTGCAGCACAGCCTGTCTGGGAGCTGAGATGCATTTTTAATTATGTGTGACTGAAACAAACTGTGACAAGGACCTTGTATAAAAGCGAGGGATTACAGAGAATAAGCTGCATTTCCGCGGTAAGTTGAATATAATAACCGGAGTGTGTTCGGGGCTACACAGCCATGAGTTTGGGTTAATATGCAATGTTCGTAATTAGCATAATTTATATATTTATGATAAAGAGAGGGAAATACATAATATTAGGTCTCTAGGCACGGGTAGAGAGGATTCCTGTCGCCTGGGCTCGCTGCTTGTCTCCTAAAAAGTGGCCGACTTTTATTGGGCAGGATGGGGGTGGGGAGCCCTTCAACACCCGCTGAAGTTTCTGACAGATCCTGCTCTCTAACAGCAGGAAATGCACCATCTTGAATCTGTTTTGTGCTTTCCCGATGAACATTCAACCACTTTATGTGCAGGAAATGTGTGTGTGTCTGCATCTGGAGAGCAACACACAGCATGGCGTGGTGTGTTCAGGCCCCTGCAAACACAGCCATGAATATAAAACTACAGTCCTCTGCATGTGGGTCGGATTTAAGCAGCGTTTAAACCCAAAGTGTGGATATTGTGGGCTAACAGAGGCCACCATACGCAAACTTATTATTTATTTGTATCTGTGAAGTAGCTGCAACACTTGGATGGTGACACTTATTTCTGAAGTGCTGTATGTCCATATTAATACAGTGTTTATCTGTTCCTCATATCCAAATGCCTATATATTATTACAGTATTACAATATTTAACGTTATGATGTATTCCATTTTATGTTATATTCTTATTCCTGCAACTTACTTCAATGATTGTGTCTATTGCATGTCTTTTATGCAATAGTATATGTTTTTATTATGTCTTTATTGAACAAGGACCATGCATAAAAATACAATGTTACAAAGTGGAAAAATGCTTTATGCAAGATTTGAGCTAATAGTTTATTTCCATCTGCAATCCTTGGGCAGACAATCAACGTACACTAAAATCATTGCATAGTCTCTATCACACAAACAATTATCTACTTTACAACTATTATGATTCATTTATTTAAACTCAAAACTCTGTATCATAGTGACATCACCATGGAACACTCACGCTTCTATTGGCTAGCGCTCCAACACATTGTATGTGATAGGCTAAGGGGCGGGACATCTCTAAGCGGTTGACCAATCACAACAGAGCTGGTCAGCTAACCAATCAGAGCAGACTGGGCTCTGGTTTCAGACAGAGGGTGAAAAGAGGTGCTGCAGCCTGAACATCAGCAGGAGAGGACTCTTTAAAGTAGAGACACTACATACTGATATACACCTGAACATCAGCAGGAGAGGACTCTTTAAAGTAGAGACACTACATACTGATATACACCTGAACATCAGCAGGAGAGGACTCTTTAAAGTAGAGACACTACATACTGATATACACCTGAACATCAGCAGGAGAGGACTCTTTAAAGTAGAGACACTACATACTGATATACACCTGAACATCAGCAGGAGAGGACTCTTTAAAGTAGAGACACTACATACTGATATACACCTGAACATCAGCAGGAGAGGACTCTTTAAAGTAGAGACACTACATACTGATATACACCTGAACATCAGCAGGAGAGGACTCTTAAAGTAGAGACACTACATACTGATATACACCTGAACATCAGCAGGAGAGGACTCTTTAAAGTAGAGACACTACATACTGATATACACCTGAACATCAGCAGGAGAGGACTCTTTAAAGTAGAGACACTACATACTGATATACACCTGAACATCAGCAGGAGAGGACTCTTTAAAGTAGAGACACTACATACTGATATACACCTGAACATCAGCAGGAGAAGACTCTTTAAAGTAGAGACACTACATACTGATATACACCTGAACATCAGCAGGAGAGGACTCTTTAAAGTAGAGACAGTACATACTGATATACACCTGAACATCAGCAGGAGAGGACTCTTTAAAGTAGAGACACTACATACTGATATACACCTGAACATCAGCAGAAGAGGACTCTTTAAAGTAGAGACACTACATACTGATATACACCTGAACATCAGCAGGAGAGGACTCTTTAAAGTAGAGACAGTACATACTGATATACACCTGAACATCAGCAGGAGAGGACTCTTTAAAGTAGAGACACTACATACTGATATACACCTGAACATCAGCAGAAGAGGACTCTTTAAAGTAGAGACACTACATACTGATATACACCTGAACACCAGCAGGAGAGGACTCTTTAAAGTAGAGACACTACATACTGATATACACCTGAGCATCAGCAGGAGAGCACTCTTTAAAGTAGAGACACTACATACTGATATACACCTGAACATCAGCAGGAGAGGACTCTTTAAAGTAGAGACACTACATACTGATATACACCTGAACATCAGCAGGAGAGGACTCTTTAAAGGAGAGACACTACATACTGATATACACCTGAACATCAGCAGGAGAGGACTCTTTAAAGTAGAGACACTACATACTGATATACACCTGCACATCAGCAGGAGAGGACTCTTTAAAGTAGAGACACTACATACTGATATACACCTGAACACCAGCAGGAGAGGACTCTTTAAAGTAGAGACACTACATACTGATATACACCTGAACACCAGCAGGAGAGGACTCTTTAAAGTAGAGACCTACATACTGATATACACCTGAACATCAGCAGGAGAGGACTCTTTAAAGTAGAGACACTACATACTGATATACACCTGAACATCAGCAGGAGAGGACTCTTTAAAGTAGAGACACTACATACTGATATACACCTGAGCATCAGCAGGAGAGGACTCTTTAAAGTAGAGACACTACATACTGATATACACCTGAGCATCAGCAGGAGAGGACTCTTTAAAGTAGAGACACTACATACTGATATACACCTGAACATCAGCAGGAGAGGACTCTTCAAAGTAGAGACACTACATACTGATATACACCTGAACATCAGCAGGAGAGGACTCTTTAAAGTAGAGACACTACATACTGATATACACCTGAACATCAGCAGCCCCTTTAAGTCTGTGTTTAGGGCAGATCTTATGTATGTTGCATTGTTGGAGGAGACTTCAGATTTTCTTTGACAAAATAACTTTGTAGTGCATTTGACAAATAAAGCATATTCGTTCTTTGCTCCTTGTATGCAGGATGTCAGGAAGACAGTGACTGGGAGGTGCAGAGAGCCATGAACTCCCAGGACCCCCCCACCAAAGATGCCCCCCTCACTGTCAATGAGCAGGTAACACTCACCTGTGTGTTAACGCACCATCTTCTCTCTCAACTGTAACCTCTCTGCGCTCTGAAAACACTCTGAAAACGTATGTTGTGTGCTGCTGTCACTCTCCATGTGCCCACATAACATTACCATTATGAACTGATTAACATCCATATGAGGATGCACCATCATTTATATATCGGCACGTTCTGCAGGTCTTGCTTTTCTGTTTCCTCACCTCATAGAGCGGTGCAGTGACGAGTCCTAAAACCCGGAGGTGAGTTAGCGTTTCACCACTTCCTGTTCCCTCGTCTCAGAGCCAATCGGATCTCTCCATTGGGGTTTAGGAAACCTATCTGGAACTAAGGTCTGTGTTTGAGACACATTGAAGAGACGGATCACGTTTTGTTATACGACATTAAACGATGGTTGTTACCAAGTGGCTGAATAGGACTACAGAAGTTTTCGAGGCCGTTGTACGTCATTACACCGAACACGTAAACACTCCTCTAAGTTTGTTTGCCCTGTTCTGCTTGAAAGCAAGTCCCTGCCTCCTGCAGACTGTTCAAACAAACGCTTCAACTCGTTCCATTTAGAATCTGTATGTTTGAATATGGATCTGAAGTCGGCGTGACGTTGAAGTCGTGCTGCTGGACTCGGCTGTAGTTCCTTTATAGCATCACGTTAGCATTTTGCTTCTGGAGATTAGATTTATGATTTGAAAATTATAAAAGTAGGGTAGACACGTGGAGATGATCCGGCTGAACAAAACTTGCATTTATCAAACAGGTTCGTTTCCACAGATCTTATTTCCAGCTATTTCCCTAAATCCTCTGGAGAAATCCCGTTGCTTTTTTGTCGAGGGAACCAGCAGCTTCCTTCCGGGTCGGCCTACAAAAATACGTCATCCCTGCACCGCTCTATAATACCTGCCGTTTAATGCTCGTCAGTGTCTTAAACCTGCCATGCTTAATAATGACATTATTAGCAAACCTAAGCAATGCTCTTCACACAGACTGCATTGCTTAAGCTGCTTGTTGGCTGTCATTGTTTTACATGTACTCATGCTCTTCTCATTTGTGATGTTGTGTTTTGTGTCCTAACATGTGCTCGGCTTCCTGTTCTCCTTAGCCATTCACTGTCTGACTGCAGACGTCTTTATTCAGCCATTTAAATCCTCCTGCACTTTGACATTCCCTGCCAAACACCTCCAGGTATGCATCCTCCTCTCTCTTCCTGCACCGTCTCTCTTCACCTGCCGCCAACAACGCTGTCATTTCCTTCTTTATTGCAAATCATGACTCAGCGGTTAGGTCTTAATCAGATTCAACACATGCAGAGAGGGCAAAAGTACACACGTCCTTTACTCAAGTAGAAGTACAGATACTCGTGTTTAAAAATACTCTGGTGAAAGTAGAAGTACTGACTAAACTTCTTTACTCAAGTCAAAGTAAAGAGGCTTTGAAATGTACTTCAGTAAAAAGTACCCATGACTAGCAGCTGCTTTAAAGAGTACCTGACCTCCCTTTATATTAATAGAACAATAATGTCATTGTTAGCTAATGAATGTTTCCATGCTGAACAACGGCAACATGACAACGTTTCCATTGGTCCCTCTTCTTTAGAGAAGACCAGGAAATGATGGATACACGGATCGTGTTCAAATCAATAGGCACGCAATGACTCTAAAGAATAATGATCACGCATCAAACACACATTCAGACTAAAGGAACCAGCTGTTTGGAAAATGAGAGAAGTAGAAAGTACAGGTATTTGAGTTCAACATGTAAGAAGTAGAAAGTACAGGTATTTGAGTTCAACATGTAAGAAGTAGAAAGTTCAGGTATTTGAGTTCAACATGTAAGAAGTAGAAAGTTCAGGTATTTGAGTTCAACATGTAAGAAGTAGAAAGTTCAGGTATTTGAGTTCAACATGTAAGAAGTAGAAAGTTCAGGTATTTGAGTTCAACATGTAAGAAGTAGAAAGTTCAGGTATTTGAGTTCAACATGTAAGAAGTAGAAAGTACAGGTATTTGTGTTCAACATGTAAGAAGTAGAAAGTACAGGTATTTGAGTTCAACATGTAAGAAGTAGAAAGTACAGGTATTTGAGTTCAACATGTAAGAAGTAGAAAGTTCAGGTATTTGGGTTCAACATGTAAGAAGTAGAAAGTACAGGTATTTGTGTTCAACATGTAAGAAGTAGAAAGTACAGGTATTTGTGTTCAACATGTAAGAAGTAGAAAGTACAGGTATTTGTGTTCAACATGTAAGAAGTAGAAAGTACAGGTATTTGTGTTCAACATGTAAGAAGTAGAAAGTACAGGTATTTGAGTTCAACATGTAAGAAGTAGAAAGTACAGGTATTTGTGTTCAACATGTAAGAAGTAGAAAGTACAGGTATTTGAGTTCAACATGTAAGAAGTAGAAAGTTCAGGTATTTGGGTTCAACATGTAAGAAGTAGAAAGTACAGGTATTTGTGTTCAACATGTAAGAAGTAGAAAGTACAGGTATTTGTGTTCAACATGTAAGAAGTAGAAAGTACAGGTATTTGTGTTCAACATGTAAGAAGTAGAAAGTACAGGTATTTGTGTTCAACATGTAAGAAGTAGAAAGTACAGGTATTTGAGTTCAACATGTAAGAAGTAGAAAGTACAGGTATTTGTGTTCAACATGTAAGAAGTAGAAAGTACAGGTATTTGTGTTCAACATGTTATTAGTCCAAGTAAAAAGTCGTCAGAAAAATAAGTAGTGGAGTAAAGTACTGATACCAGAAACATGTACTTAAGTACAGTAACGAAGCATTTGTACTGCACTACTTCCACCTCTGCACTCATGTATTTAAGTGGGCAGAAATAAAGAAGTAGGAAAAGGGAATGTAGTTTTTAGCTTCAGGGTCCTTCGAGTGAGTGAGATTTGTACAGTTTCAAATAGTTTTCAAACACAAATGAGTAACACAGCGTTATCTATAAAACCCTGGACAAGTTAGTTTTGCACATTTTTCTCTTTTCGTCTCAGTTTTTTCGTCCTTATCAGGTTCAGGTTATTTATTTTTACAGTTTAAAATTGTTTTAATTTACAAATGACTGCCACAGTTTTATCTATAAAAACCTGAACAAGAGAAACATTTTTAATCACGTTCTTTTGCACATTTCTCACATCAGGTTCAGGATGTTGTATTTGTAGGTAGATTCAAGATTCAAGGCTTTTATTGTCATTTGAACAAAGCTACAGTAGATATATCAATGAAAAGCTTAGGTCTCAGGCTCCTCCAACAGAGCAACACAATCAAACAGATAAAATAGTGCAGGTAAAAGACAAGGCTTATTATGATCATTGCTGCAGGTGATAGTGATGTCGGGCAATGAGACGATCCGGGTTCTGGAGGTGGAGGTGGACGCGTCTCTGCCCTCGTCCCTGCCTGAGGAGAGGAGTGAGGTGAAATTTGAGGTGGGGGAACGACCTGAGGCCGGCGGCACGCAGGAGGGGCCCCAAAACCCTGGGGGAGTCGGTAAACACTGCTCATATATCAGATAAATACGTATTTTATTAACTGTTTACTTTTTTTTGTATTATTTCAAATTCAAAGGTTTTATTATCATATGCTCAGCAGCTACAGTGTAGAAAGGGCAATGCAATTCTTCTGACCTGAGCTCCTCCAACAATGCAACATATATAATAAAATACAAAGTAGTGCAAAGAGTCTATTATATATAAGCTCAAACTTTTTCAAAAAAAATCTCCAAATGTCTTTTTGAAAATCTCAATTTTTTAAAAATATTTCTAAATTCAAACTTTTCAAGAAATCTTAAAATTCTTAGTTTTTCAAAGAAATCTGTTTTTCGGAAAATGTCTAAATTCTAATTTATTTCGGAAAATCTAAAATGTCTTACTTTTTTCAGAAAATCTCAAAATTCTTTATTTTTTCTTAAAAACATTCAGCAAGTTGACTAAAAGCTGCAGATATCAAATGCTGCAAGAAGCTCAAAACATAACGGAGACCAGGGGGACACTAAAGAGTGACGCACACAGCTGGGAGACCAGGGGGACACTAAAGAGTGACGCACACAGCTGGGAGACCAGGGGACACTAAAGAGTGACGCACACAGCTGGGAGGCCAAGGGACACTAAAGAGTGACGCACACAGCTGGGAGACCAGGGGACACTAAAGAGTGACGCACACAGCTGGGAGACCAGGGGGACACTAAAGAGTGACGCACACAGCTGGGAGACCAGGGGACACTAAAGAGTGACGCACACAGCTGGGAGGCCAAGGGACACTAAAGAGTGACACACACAGCTGGGAGACCAGGGGACACTAAAGAGTGACGCACACAGCTGGGAGACCAGGGGACACTAAAGAGTGACGCACACAGCTGGGAGACCAGGGGACAATAAAGAGTGACGCACACAGCTGGGAGACCAGGGGACACTAAAGAGTGACGCACACAGCTGGGAGACCAGGGGACACTAAAGAGTGACGCACACAGCTGGGAGACCAGGGGACACTAAAGAGTGACGCACACAGCTGGGAGACCAGGGGACACTAAAGAGTGACGCACACAGCTGGGAGACCAGGGGACACTAAAGAGTGACGCACACAGCTGGGAGACCAGGGGACACTAAAGAGTGACGCACACAGCTGGGAGACCAGGGGACACTAAAGAGTGACGCACACAGCTGGGAGACCAGGGGACACTAAAGAGTGACGCACACAGCTGGGAGACCAGGGGACACTAAAGAGTGACGCACACAGCTGGGAGACCAGGGGGACACTAAAGAGTGACGCACACAGCTGGGAGGACCAGGGGACACTAAAGAGTGACGCACACCAGCTGGGAGGCCAAGGGACACTAAAGAGTGACACACACAGCTGGGAGACCAGGGGACACTAAAGAGTGACGCACACAGGAGCAGGTAAGAGGACACAGCTGGGACCAATAAAGAGTGACGCACACAGCTGGGAGACCAGGGGACACTAAAGAGTGACGCACACAGCTGGGAGACCAGGGGACACTAAAGAGTGACGCACACAGCTGGGAGACCAGGGGACACTAAAGAGTGACGCACACAGCTGGGAGACCAGGGACACTAAAGAGTGACGCACACAGCTGGGAGACCAGGGGACACTAAAGAGTGACGCACACAGCTGGGAGACCAGGGGACACTAAAGAGTGACGCACACAGCTGGGAGACCAGGGGACACTAAAGAGTGACGCACACAGCTGGGAGACCAGGGGACACTAAAAAGTGACGCACACAGCTGGGAGACCAGGGGACACTAAAGAGTGACGCACACAGCTGGGAGACCAGGGGACACTAAAGAGTGGATTAGGAAATTCGGATTTATTTTCCTGGGATTTAAACCCCTTCCCCGTCTCTATTAATTTAATTTTTTCGCCTACAATATCGCTATACTCCGTTGCATATACCCTGTTTTTCTGTAAAGCGACCTTGGGTCCCCTGAAAGTTATTATTATTATTACTTCATGTTTTTAATGCCACTCTATACACAAAGCTGCCCTGCTTTTAAATGTCAGTAACCCCCCCCCTGCTGTGCTCCTGCAGGTCTGGTTTCTGTGGAGGTTTCTGCTCCTGCCGTCCAGACGATGCCTCCTGCTGTCAGTCTGTCTCTGTCTCATCCTCAGGCCAACATGCCCATCACCGTGCAGAGCTGCCCTCAGGTACGATCCATCATCAAACACAGAGCACATCGTTAATACTTATCTGAAGTCTTAGGAGGTGTAGCGACAGCAGGTAACAAACAAAGTCTCGGAGAGGCTGAGGCCGGGCCTGTTTGCTGTTGTATGACAAGCAACAAAAAGCACTTGCTGAAATCAAAATTGTAGTGAATAATAATGAAAAATGAGATGATCAACTTATTTTACGTAGACATTGTAATAAGGATCAAAGCAATCCTAAAGCTTCCAGTCATTAAAAAAACTGGCACAATTTAAAACGACTTCAATTATGTGATATACGATCAATCACATCGACCAATGGATTCCAGTTCCCTGTCCTTTAAGATGGACTTAATGACATATAGCTCCAACACTCGATATTGAAATGTAGAAAGATGTAGTATTAGCTTGGTAAAAACCAGTGTGCCAGTAAAAAAACAGATTAATGAGTTCCCCGGGTACCAACTCTTCCTCTTCTTCCTCCTCTTCCTCCCCAGGTGCTGACCCAGGAGAGTCTGGCCTCCCTGTTGACGGGGATGATGGCTCAGACGGGGTCTATGGGCCAGCCCATGCTGATCCCCCTCAGCATGGCCGGATCTATCGGGGGCGGGGGTCTCGCTGTCCTCACGCTACCCTCCACTAACGTAGCCTCTCTTCCCGGATACACTACTGCGAACACGGCCGGGAACCTCCTCAAACTGCCCTTCGCCGGCCTCCAGGGTAACACAGCAACCGTGTGTGAAAATCTGTGACAAAAATGTGTATATGTATTAGATAGCTAGATAGATAGATACTTTATTAATCCCACATTGGACATACAGTATAACACTAACTCTGAATTTGTGAGAAAATCTGTATTTTTGGATTTTGAGAAAAAAAGTCAGGATTTTGAGAAAATACAGAATTTTGAGAAAAAAGTCAGAATTTTGAGAGAAAGTCAGAATTTTTAGATTTTGAGAAAAAAAGTCAGGATTTTAAGAGAAAGTCTGAATTTTTTGAGAAAGTCTGAATTTTTAGAGAAAGTCTGAATTTTTAGAGAAAGTCTGAATTTTTAGAGAAAGTCAGAATTTTGAGAGAAAGTCAGAATGTTAACATTTTGAGAATCATGACAGCATGTAAGCTGTCAAAGATCGCAGGGGGGGCGCCAGACCTCAGATTATTTGAGGCCATATTTAGACTTTTTTATTTATTTATTTTTACATATAATTGTAAGGCAATACATGATTGTCACTAAAAGCCTTGTCTCTACATTACAATAAAATATAAAAACTAATTGTTTAATTAATTTTAATAAAAATTCAAGTTAGCATTAAAGGCATAAAAAGACAGAAATGTATAATTATTTCTTTAATAGAAATGTTTCTTCTGCCCGTAAAGTGTCCAAACCAGGCTTTTCTGGATAAGCGCATTTTTTAAACAGTCATTATCCATGCCGGTTTCAGTTGGATTATTTGTCACAGTTGTGAATCCACATAAACACATCGGCAAAATCCGGTTTACTTTGAGCATGTGTTTTAAACAGTTTAATCCCTTTGTGAATTGTTTCCACTTGCGCCTTTAATTTATTCACACAGCGGGAATCCAAATGATTTAATCCTGAGTCCAATAACCATCAAAGTCACTCCAATAGTGCTCCTTAATTACGCTTTCATCCTCCTTTAACAACATACTTCACATTCATCCAGTTTGTGACAGTAGTTGTAGCATTTTGAGACTTTTAAACTTTAATTACTGCTTTTGCGCCCCTCCCCCCCTTGTGTGTGTGTGTGTGTGTGTGTGTGTGTGTGGGGGGGCGCAACATCCAACAGGAGTCATTTGGGGGGGCTCTTGGGAAAAAAGGTTGGGAACCCCTGACCTAGAAGAACCGGTATTCTTCCATCTTGTGACTGTGTAACTCCCTCTCTTGGATATCAGTATGTGAAGGACACTGCTCAGGAACTAGTTGATGCTCTGTATGTGATGACTACTTCCATTCTGGAGAGGATCACAGATACATGGATCCTGAGATTGAAGCTCAAGCTGGAGACGAGTGATATTTTCCTAACAATGAATAAATAAAGATTGAGATTGACTAACCTCTTGATTGTTGTGCTCAGCAGCGACGGTCCTGAACTCTCTGCAGCCCCAGCTTCAGACCAGCGCTCAGACGATGTTCCAGCCTCAGGTCCAGGTGACGTCTCCCTCACCTGTCCCTCAGGTGTCTGCAGCTCAGACCTCCTCCTCCTCCCAGTCCAACATCTCCCTCGCAGCGCTGCAGAACGCAGGACTCTCCATCAACCCCGCCATCGTAAGACTGATCCTCTGTTAGTTATACTTTGTGTACTGTTTTATATCATAAAGGACGATTGTGGCTGCGAGGAAGTGCTGTCGTCTTTCAACTTTAAAGGTCACCTATTATGCAAAATCCTCTTCTTCATGTCTCTTCTACATCAACATGTGTCCCCTCTTCTTCATGTCTCTCCTACATCAACATGTGTCCCCTCTTCTCCATGTCTCTTCTACATCAACATGTGTCCCCTCTTCTTCATGTCTCTTCTACATCAACATGTGTCCCCTCTTCTTCATGTCTCTTCTACATCAACATGTGTCCCCTCTTCTTCATGTCTCTTCTTCATCAACATGTGTCCCCTCTTCTTCATGTCTCTTCTACATCAACATGTGTCCCCTCTTCTTCATGTCTCTTCTACATCAACATGTGTCCCCTCTTCTTCATGTCTCTTCTACATCAACATGTGTCCCCTCTTCTTCATGTCTCTTCTACATCAACATGTGTCCCCTCTTCTTCATGTCTCTTCTTCATCAACATGTGTCCCCTCTTCTTCATGTCTCTTCTACATCAACATGTGTCCCCTCTTCTTCATGTCTCTTCTACATCAACATGTGTCCCCTCTTCTTCATGTCTCTTCTTCATCAACATGTGTCCCCTCTTCTTCATGTCTCTTCTACATCAACATGTGTCCCCTCTTCTTCATGTCTCTTCTACATCAACATGTGTCCCCTCTTCTTCATGTCTCTTCTACATCAACATGTGTCCCCTCTTCTTCATGTCTCTTCTACATCAACATGTGTCCCCTCTTCTTCATGTCTCTCCTACATCAACATGTGTCCCCTCTTCTTCATGTCTCTTCTACATCAACATGTGTCCCCTCTTCTTCATGTCTCTTCTACATCAACATGTGTCCCCTCTTCTTCATGTCTCTTCTACATCAACATGTGTCCCCTCTTCTTCATGTCTCTTCTACATCAACATGTGTCCCCTCTTCTTCATGTCTCTTCTACATCAACATGTGTCCCCTCTTCTTCATGTCTCTTCTACATCAACATGTGTCCCCTCTTCTTCATGTCTCTTCTACATCAACATGTGTCCCCTCTTCTTCATGTCTCTTCTACATCAACATGTGTCCCCTCTTCTTCATGTCTCTTCTACATCAACATGTGTCCCCTCTTCTTCATGTCTCTTCTACATCAACATGTGTCCCCTCTTCTCCATGTCTCTTCTACATCAACATGTGTCCCCTCTTCTTCATGTCTCTTCTACATCAACATGTGTCCCCTCTTCTCCATGTCTCTTCTACATCAACATGTGTCCCCTCTTCTTCATGTCTCTCCTACATCAACATGTGTCCCCTCTTCTTCATGTCTCTTCTACATCAACATGTGTCCCCTCTTCTTCATGTCTCTTCTACATCAACATGTGTCCCCTCTTCTTCATGTCTCTTCTACATCAACATGTGTCCCCTCTTCTTCATGTCCTCTTCTACATCAACATGTGTCCCCTCTTCTTCATGTCTCTTCTACATCAACATGTGTCCCCTCTTCTTCATGTCTCTTCTACATCAACATGTGTCCCCTCTTCTTCATGTCTCTTCTACATCAACATGTGTCCCCTCTTCTTCATGTCTCTTCTACATCAACATGTGTCCCCTCTTCTTCATGTCTCTTCTACATCAACATGTGTCCCCTCTTCTTCATGTCTCTTCTACATCAACATGTGTCCCCTCTTCTCCATGTCTCTTCTACATCAACATGTGTCCCCTCTTCTTCATGTCTCTTCTACATCAACATGTGTCCCCTCTTCTCCATGTCTCTTCTACATCAACATGTGTCCCCTCTTCTTCATGTCTCTTCTACATCAACATGTGTCCCCTCTGTGGAAAGAGACTCTGAATGTTTCAGGAACAAAGATTCTCTCTCTTTTTGATCCATTTCTATAAAAACCTGTCTGAAAATGAGCTGATCAGATTTTGGCCACTTTATGATGTCATAACGATGTTTTGTCTTGTAGCCAATCACCAACCAAGGTAACCCCCCCCCCCATTATCACCTGAATCTCCTAGAGCACCATTGAGTTCTTTGTGACCAAATGTCTCTCAGAGGGGCGTGGGGAGGGGCTCCTTATTTTCATCTAAAGTAACAGACAGAGAATCAGCACTTTGGAAACAGGGCTGAAACAGAGGGGATTATGGGTAATGCTGCAACAGTATAATGGGGGACCTTTAAGAATGTCCTCCACAGTAAAGACTGGATAAAGCGCTTTATAAGTACAGTCTGTTTTGAGTTCACTAAACCTGCTGTGTTCCCCTGTTCTCAGTTCAGCGCTGCCTCTCTGGGAGCTCAGCCTCAGTTCCTCAGCTCCCTCACCTCCACCCCCATCATCACCAGCAACATGTCCAACATGGCGGGCATCACCAGCCAGCTGATCACCAACGCTCAGGGACAGGTGGGTGCTGCCAAATAATCACACTCACTTTATATCGTGTTACTGTGTAGTTTGAATAGTGTGATAAAGGAGGACTATGCTGAGGTTATTTAGAATACAGACATATTAACATTTACTACAGGTGATATTGCCATAATGCAGTTGTGCCCGTCTACGAAGTTGCTGTGAAGTCTGCCTAGGTTTATATAGCAACAAGGATTTGAAGGTATCGTATGATGCTCGGCGTTGGCTAATCGGTGGGACCCAGGAACCCCTCAACAAAAAAAACACTTGTTTGCTATCCTGGCTCAAAAACACATCTTCTGTTGCAAACTTAATACCTGGTTTACCTTCGCCATTAAATTAAACCAATAACACACAAATAACGAAATTGAGCGCGCCATTAGTTTAGCCTATTTGAACCAAATATATCTGCATTTTTCTTGCTGTACTGAGTTTGTCTCGTCACAGTTTATTTATTATAATCCGTTTGGACAAAAGCATCAGCTAAATGTAATGTATCTCAACGTGAAGCTAGTGTTGGACCAGGCAAGATATAACTTGGAGGAGAATAACCTGCCATGACGTTTTAATTGACACGTACATTTCATCGTCCCACATTGTCCACTTTTCCTTGCAGCCGTTGCATAATACCTCGTCTAATGTGAGCGTAGAGGGAGTCTCTTCTTCCTCATGAATTCCCCTTGTCATCTTTCCTTCACTTCATGGCGTTCTCTTGACTGCAGCCTCAATAAGATACAACAGACTTCATGATCAAATAAAAAGGGTAAAGGAGTAATCATCAGGCAATTTGCTATCCTTAAAGGTCCCCTATTATACTGTTTTTCATCAATATATTATAGGTCTCAGATATATCCAGAGCCTGTCTGTGATTGGCTGAAACACCAAACAGATCATTGCAGCATTACCCATAATCCCCTCTGTTTCCAAAGTGCTGATTCTCTGTCTGTTACTTTAGATGAAAATAAGGAGCCCCTCCCCACGCCCCTCTGAGAGACATTTGGTTAAAAATAACTAGGGCTGTCAGTCGATTAAAATAATTAATCGCACATTTTTTATCTGTTCTAAATGGTGTGTGTGTGTGTGTGTGTGTGTGTGTGTGTGTGTGTGTGTGTGTGTGTGTGTGTGTGTGTGTGTGTGTGTGTGTGTGTGTGTGTGTGTGTGTGTGTGTGTGTGTGTGTGTGTGTGTGTGTGTGTGTGTGTGATGGAGCTATGTGCAACTCAAGGCATATGCTCGAACGGGAGCTGCCTGGACGCTGCAATCATGTTGCACTATCCGTGCTGAGTGTGCTGACTTCTCGTACCGTGTCCCACTGTCTGGCTTCCTGCATAAAGTCAAGTGCTCGGCGCAGTTGTGGCGAAATGTCGCTCCTCTGTTTTCATTTAAACAGCTCCGTATATCCGTTAGCGCAGCTAGCTAGCCCAACAACAATGCACGTAAGGTCTCTCGCTCGCTCGGGCCACACATACACACACCCTCCCGGTCCTCCCAACAGCCAGTCGGTGCCTGCCGGTGAGCGTGGAAGTGTGGTCTGTCACAAGCGGGCGACAGGAGCGGGGCTGTCAGCATCAGCTTGTAGATGGTATTTTAAACTCGATGCGCTCTTAAACTACGGGGCGTCCGAGGAAAAAAAATACACATGCGTTAATCGCGTTAAAATAATTAGTGGCGTTAATTTTTGTTTGCGTTAACGCGTTATTAACGCGTTAACTTGACAGCCCTAAAAATAACACAATAGGCGCTTTCACACCGGAGTACTTTTCCCCGTACTTTCCCCTTTTAGTTCCGATAGTTCCTGGGATTTTGCGTTCACACCAAAACGAGAACTTAGTTCATGAGAACTTTTCCCCCCTTTTCAGTCCCTGCTAGAGAGGTGGTACTTTCCTGGGGAGAAAAAAGTGGGAGTCCCAGCAGCTATTTTGCATAATAGGTGACCTTTAAACATTTTCTACAGGTCATAGGAACCCTGCCGCTGTTTTTGAACCCAGCTTCTCTGGGTGGAGGGGCTGCACAAACGCTCCAGAGTCTTCAAGGTCTTCAAGGTCTTCAAGGTATCCAAGGACACTCAAATCCAGCACCAGACACTTTTTACACTTCTATGGACAATCTTGCACTAATGTACATTCCCAAAGATATTGAAGTGAAGTTATTTTGTATATATTGATTGTTGTGTTTTTATCTTAATGTGTGCATATGTATACATGTGTCTGTTGATTGTGTATATATAGTATATACATATTTTATACATATTTGTATTGTTGTAATCGGGATTGTGGGAAACAGTATTTCGATCTCTCTGTCTACTAAAAGACTGACAATACAGTTTACTTTGACTCCTAGGTCTTCAAGGTCTTCAATGTCTTCAAGGTCTTCAAGGTCTTCAAGGTATCCAAGGACTCCAGGGTCTCCAGGGTTTCCAGGGGCTCCAGGGGCTCCAGGGTCTTCAGGGTCTCCAGGGTCTCCAGGTCCAGACTGTGACCCCCCAGCTGGTTCTGAACTCTCAGGGTCAGATCATCGCCACGCTGGGAAACGGATGCGCTGTGACGTCGGCTGCAGTTCAGCCCAAAGTCACTGCTACTCCGACATTCACCAAACCCATCTCACAGGTACAGACTGTCTGTGATTGGGTGGAATACAAAGTGGTTTTTGCTTTGAAACAGACCGAAAGCTTATAAAGTCGTGCAGTGATGACGTATTTGTGTAGGCCGCATGGGTTCCCTCGACAAAAAAAAGCAACGGGACTTCTCCATAGGATTTTGGAATATTGTAAAAATTAAGATCTGTGGAAAACGAACCTCTTTGATAAATGCACGTTTTGTTCAGCCGGATAATCTCCACATGTCTATCCTACTTTTATAATTTTTCCAGTCATAAATCTAATCGCAAGAAGCTAAATGCTAACGTTATGCTATAAAGGAACTACAGCCGAGTCCAGCAGCACGACTTCAACGTCACGCCAACTTAAGATCCATATTCAAACACACAGATTCTAGATGGATAGAGTTGAAGCGTTTGTTGGAACACTTTGCAGGAGGCAGGGACTTGCTTTCGAGCAGAACAGAAACTAACTTAGAGGAGTGTTTACGTGTTCGGCGTAATGACGTACAACGGCCTCCACAACTTCTGTAGTCCTATTCAGCCACTTGGTAACAACCATCGTTTTTCAGACACGTAAACTCTTCAGAAATCACCAGATGGATCACTGCTGATGGATTTAATGTCGTAGAACAAAACGTGATCCCTCTCTTCAATTTGTGTCAACCACAGACCTTATTTCCAGATATTTTCCAAAAACGAGTTAAGTGGTAAAATTCTGACGCACTTCCGGGTTTTAGGACTCGTTCCTGCACCACTCTATACCGCGTCTAATGTGAGTGTAGTGGGAGTCTCTTCTAACTGTTTCTGTTCCCCCAGGCTTCAGTAACGACCGTCAGTCAGTCCCCGATCGTCATCGCCCCGCAGCCGTCCCTCATGAAGACCCCGCTGCCCCCCGCGGTGAACATCAGCTGTGGAGACATGGCTAAAGTGGGCCAGCTCATCGGCAGTGCGTTCCCCCCCTCTCATCCACACACTGATCCACACACCGATCCACACACTGATTCTACACTGTAGCTTATGTGCAGATGACAATAAAACCTTTGAATCTTTTGAATGTAGAGCCGCAGCAGGTCGTCAGCGGCGAGGAGGGGATAAATCTGGACGAGATCCGAGAGTTCGCCAAAAACTTCAAGATCCGCCGGCTGTCTCTCGGTCTCACGCAGACGCAAGTAGGCCAGGCGCTCACCGCCACCGAGGGCCCGGCGTACAGCCAGTCCGCCATCTGCAGGTACTTCACTGAACCCAACATGAAGCCCTGATTCCCTCAGCAATGTAGGGTAAAAACTATTCTCTCTTTATAATGGAAGTTGTTTCCATCCATTAAAACAGACATTTCTCACGCGTTATCTTTTAATTCATTTGTTTTACTAACAGCTGTGATGACTCCTTTGACTTCACATGATGTGTGGATGTTATACGACTTAAGGCCCGGACACACCAAGCTAATTTCGGCCGTCGATAGATGTCTGGCCGTCGATGAGCGTCCTGTCGCCCTACTCAGATTGGTGTGTCCCGCACCGTTGTGTCTTTTCGGCCGTGCCGACACCTTCCGCTCCCGATTGAACATGTTGAATTGGGAGCGGAGGCTGTCGGCAAAATAAATTACTCTGATTGGCTGTTCAGCTTAGCGAATCAGTGCATGAGAAGCTAAACAGAAGTGAGGTATGCAAACAAACGAATAAGAAGGCACACACAGACTGATACCGCACTAAACATGTTTAAGATTATAAGTCGCTATGTGAAACAGTCTGTGATGGACGAGAGTGAAAATGGAACGCACACAATATTATATTGTGTGCGTTCCATTTTCACTCTCGTCCATATGTTGTTTGTATCATCCAGTCTGTCTTCCGGTTGTTGCCTCTTTTGAATGACGAATAAACACTACCGCCGCCTGCTGGTAAGGAGAGTTATTGCCACTCACACATGCGCAGTTCGTACGTGCTACTTGGCCGTCGGCTGAAGTCTTTGCGGTGTGTTCCAGTGCGACTGTTGGTCAAGACGCAGGAGACGTGAGGCGACACAACAGTCGGGTCCGTCGGGACGTGTTCTTTGGTGTCAGTTTGGGCGTCAGGGCCTTTACGTGTTATAATTGTGAATCAAAGCCATGGAGGTTATGGTCATGGTGCTGTTTGTTGATTGGTTTGTCTCTTAGCAACATTAGAGAAACTACAAGCTTGATGTTCATGAAACTGGGTGACATGTTGGAGAATGGGCCCAAGAAACCCGTCTGAATCACAGTTTTCACATCAGACATCAAATCCTGAATGCAAAATGTTGAATCTAGCCGGATGCTCATGAAACTTGTGTTAATCACACATTCAAAAATAAGAGAATAAAGGCCTTTACATTAGTCAAACAAACCCAGACAGAAGAGGCAACACTCAAATAAAATGATAAACGAAATGACTTCATCTTTCTTTATCTTTTATGGTTTGTTATATAATTTAACTTTTAAAAAACTATGTTTCGACAGCTTTTTATGTCTCTTAAAAGCTGGCGCTGTGGGTATTGTAGTCTTTTAAAATCCCTTGACTACAAAGGTCGCCACTAGGTGACATTTCATTGGACCTTTTCACAAAAACTGGCTAAAAAAAGGGTGATTTTACGTAAAGAAAATAATAAAAGTAATAAAGAAAGGGGGTGGGTGGTAAAAAATGTTAAACTAATACATTTAAATACAAATAAAAATACAAGTACATTACAAATATATATTAAAATCATATAAATGGGGATTATAATTAAACCCTAACTTCTAAGAGATTTATAGTTAGAGATAGAAAAAAACAAAAATGATGTATTGTTAGATTAAAGCTGATGTAATTACAGTAATATATATATATATATATATATATATATCCTGCTGAATATCTTTTGCTCCGCAGGTTTGAAAAGCTGGACATCACGCCTAAGAGCGCCCAGAAGCTGAAGCCGGTTCTGGAGAAGTGGCTGGCCGAGGCGGAGCACTGGAACCAGAAGGGACAGCAGAACCTCATGGAGTTCGTCGGCGGAGAACCGTCCAAAAAACGAAAGCGACGCACGAGCTTCACGCCGCAGGCCATCGAAGTCCTGAACTCATACTTTGACAAGAACGCGCTGCCGACGGGACAAGAGATCACGGAAATGGCTCGAGAGCTGAACTACGATCGAGAGGTGGTGAGAGTTTGGTTCTGCAACAGGAGACAAACGCTGAAGAACACGAGCAAAATCAACGTCTTCCAGGTCCAGTAGCAACGTCCTTCTGGAGATATTTCACACTGACACACAGGGAAGGAGGAGAATACAAGCCAAGTGGAAAAATATGAACTTTGGTAACACTTTATTTTAAGGTACACATATTCACCATCAACTAGTTGTTCATTAACATGCATATTAGCAGTATATTGGCTCTGTAGTAGTCAGTATAAAACACGCCTTGTTCTACATGACCATATTCTACAAGTACTAGGCCATTAGTTAAGAGTTTGTCTTCAATAACCATCTAATTAGTGCTTATTTATTGTAAGTAAGGACGTTGTTGTACATGAGTTACGGTCTTAATGTGCTCAATATGGGCCTAATAACTCTCATAATAACACCTAACAAATATGGTCTATTCTTATTTAACAAGACATGAAACTAAAAGTGTTAATTGTGTCAAAATAACTCAAAATGAGGTTTTTCTAACTCAGAATAAGTTCCCTATTTTAAAGTGAAGTCTTGTTCATAACCAATAAACTAGTAGTTTGACTCTAATGTGTAAATTAACAACTAGATGACGGGGAATATGTGTACCTTAATCTAAAGTGTTTCCTGAACTTTTTAACATGAAGAGAGATTACACATAAAAGAGTTCTAATAACAATCGTATTTTAAGATATGTGTACACAACTCCTGTGAAGTCAAACGGCATGGTCCTTTTATCCTATAGAGTGATGATAATAACATTTAATATTTAATAATATTTGAACTTTTATACAAGTGGTTTTATAGGAAGATCCCTCTGAGTTATCAAAGTGGCAGTGCATTGAGTCACATTGATTTTAGTCGCATAATTGTCACTTTACGCTGATATTTGAACAACCACCATGGATGTTTTTAAAAATGCTCATTTATTTTATATTCAGGTGGTAGTTGTATACATTGGCAGCTTGTAAAACCTAAATAGGATGCTGTAGACTGAAAAACAACCCTTTATTAATCAGAATTCGTCGTCTAATTAACACCAAAAATGAATTTTCCATCCATGACTCTGAAGCCATGTTTGGGGACAATCACCATTTTTATATTTCTTATTGAAAATCACAAAAAATCTGCATTAATTTCCTCGCGTTCGGCTTTCATTTCTTTATTGAGCAGCATAAAATAATTGTGCCGCACCGTCGGGGGTCCAGAGGGAATGATTTCTGACAAAAACTTGACTATTGCCCATGAAGCCACAACTGTAAACTAATCAGTTTTAAAATGTTACTTTCATACTGTATATGTGTGTGTGTGTGTGTGTGTGTGTGTGTGTGTGTGTGTGTGTGTTTTGTGTTCACACTTCAATGTGCTTTAATACTCTGAGAGTATGTGGTTTTCCTCCCATTTCACTGTTGTGACCGGTGCTTCTGCTGCATTTTGAATCTCAAGTTAGATAACGTTTATTGTCAAAATAGAAGCTTAAAGTACGGTGGCCGACAGGAGCGAACGCACTACTACGGCCCAAAGCACTTCCATCAGGAGCAACGCTCTGCAGTTTCAGAAACGATGCGAATATAAAAACACAAATGTGCCAAAACACATGCAAAGAAATGAAGAAACATGACACTTGAGGAAAGCTGCATAAACTAAACGGAAACCAGGGGACACTAAAGAGTGACGCACACAGCTGGGAGACCAGGGGACACTAAAGAGTGACGCACACAGCTGGGAGACCAGGGGACACTAAAGAGTGACGCACACAGCTGGGAGACCAGGGGACACTAAAGAGTGATGCACACAGCTGGGAGACCAGGGGACACTAAAAAGTGATGCACACAGCTGGGAGACCAGGGGACATTAAAAAGTGATGCACACAGCTGGGAGACCAGGGGACACTAAAGAGTGACAACTGTCTCTGTTGTTGGAAACTTACCTAAAATGTTTGATGGTCTTATTTGAACAATGTGATCACATGACTCCTTCTGATGTCACTGCAGATCTGCTGTAAGCTAGCTAGCTAACGTAGCTAACCTAGACGTTTCAGATCTACTGACAAACACTGACAGTTATGAGACAGACTCACTCTGACACAGAGACAGTTGTTCAGCTTTATAATCCTGAACGTCACCAAGCGCTCTGGTCCCAGCTGTGTGCGTCACTCTTTAGTGTCCCCTGGTCTCCCAGCTGTGTGCGTCACTCTTTAGTGTCCCCTGGTCTCCCAGCTATGTGCGCCACTCTTTAGTGTCCCCTGGTCTCCCATCTGTGTGCGTCACTCTTTAGTGTCCCCTGGTCTCCCAGCTGTGTGCGTCACTCTTTAGTGTCCCCTGGTCTCCCAGCTATGTGCGCCACTCTTTAGTGTCCCCTGGTCTCCCATCTGTGTGCGTCACTCTTTAGTGTCCCCTGGTCTCCCAGCTATGTGCGCCACTCTTTAGTGTCCCCTGGTCTCCCAGCTGTGTGCGTCACTCTTTAGTGTCCCTTGTCTCCCAGCTATGTGCGCCACTCTTTAGTGTCCCCTGGTCTCCCAGCTGTGTGCGTCACTTTTTAGTGTCCCTTGGTCTCCCAGCTGTGTGCGTCACTCTTTAGTGTCCCCTGGTCTCCCAGCTGTGTGCGTCACTCTTTAGTGTCCCCTATTCTCCCAGCTGTGTGCGTCACTCTTTAGTGTCCGCTTGTCTCCCAGCTGTGTGCGCCACTCTTTAGTGTCCCCTGGTCTCCCAGCTGTGTGCGTCACTCTTTAGTGTCCGCTTGTCTCCCAGCTATGTGCGCCACTCTTTAGTGTCCCCTGGTCTCCCAGCTGTGTGCGTCACTCTTTAGTGTCCCCTGGTCTCCCAGCTGTGTGCGTCACTCTTTAGTGTCCCCTGGTCTCCCAGCTGTGTGTGTCACTCTTTAGTGTCCCCTGGTCTCCCAGCTATGTGCGCCACTCTTTAGTGTCCCCTGGTCTCCCAGCTATGTGTGTCACTTTTTAGTGTCCCCTGTGTTTTGGAACATCTGTGTTTTTATATTTGCATCGATAGCAAGCTGCAGCGGGTTTCTCCTAATGGAAATGTTTCTGGCGGTTGTAGCACGTTTGCAATCAAACACCGTATGAATTGGTCTAAAATGAACTTAAAACTGTCTCATGTTGCCTATAAGCATTAACAACCATTTATATACTTTGAAAGCCTAAAATCTGTCAAATGGCTGAATCACACATTGTAAGGACCTGTTCAGCCAATGAAAGGTGATGTTCTTTAATATGTTTAATCTGAATGAGTGTTTGCATGCGCAGTGTGAAATTATTTTGGTGTTTTTTTTCTGTATCTTTGCCAATTCTTCACAAATTCTTTGCACTTTAGTGAAAGCGGGGAAAGCAACAAAGGGAAATGAATGGTTTGAATACAGGTTTCATTTATGTGTGGGAGAATTTGATTTCTACATTTTCATGTAGCAGTAATGGTGACAAATGCAATCATCAACTTAACTATCATTAAGATTAATGTAATTTAAAAATAATAATATCATTCAGTGAACTATAAGGTGCATTTTATGATCTACATCATATTTTCCTTTTGAATCGTTTGAAACAAGTCTCTATATTACAGTGGACATACAGTGAAATACAAAATAATTGATATCGCAAAGGTTACGCTTTAAAAGGTCCCCTATTATGCTCTTTTCAACAATATATTACAGGTCTCAGATACAGAACAAGTGTTTGGCTCGAAACACCAGACAGATCATTGCAGCAAATTGCAGGGGGGGGGTTACCTTGGTTGCTGATTGGCTAATGGTTACACAAGACAAAACATCGTTATGAATAAAGTGGCCAAAATCTGATCAGCTCATTTTCAGACAGGTTTTTATAGAAATGGATCAAAAAGAGAGAATCTTTGTTCCTGAAACTTTCAGAGTCTCTTTCCACAGAGGGGACACATGTTGATGTAGAAGAGACATGAAGAAGAGGGGACACATGTTGATGTAGAAGAGACATGAAGAAGAGGGGACACATGTTGATGTAGAAGAGACATGAAGAAGAGGGGACACATGTTGATGTAGAAGAGACATGGAGAAGAGGGGACACATGTTGATGTAGAAGAGACATGGAGAAGAGGGGACACATGTTGATGTAGAAGAGACATGGAGAAGAGGGGACACGTGTTGATGTAGAAGAGACATGAAGAAGAGGGGACACATGTTGATGTAGAAGAGACATGAAGAAGAGGGGACACATGTTGATGTAGAAGAGACATGAAGAAGAGGGGACACATGTTGATGTAGAAGAGACATGAAGAAGAGGGGACACATGTTGATGTAGAAGAGACATGAAGAAGAGGGACACATGTTGATATAGAAGAGACATGAAGAAGAGGGGACACATGTTGATGTAGAAGAGACATGAAGAAGAGGGGACACATGTTGATGTAGAAGAGACATGAAGAAGAGGGGACACATGTTGATATAGAAGAGACATGAAGAAGAGGGGACACATGTTGATGTAGAAGAGACATGAAGAAGAGGGGACACATGTTGATGTAGAAGAGACATGAATAAGAGGGGACACATGTTGATGTAGAAGAGACATGAAGAAGAGGGGACACATGTTGATGTAGAAGAGACATGGAGAAGAGGGGACACATGTTGATGTAGAAGAGACATGAAGAAGAGGGGACACATGTTGATGTAGAAGAGACATGGAGAAGAGGGGACACATGTTGATGTAGAAGAGACATGGAAAAGTGGACTTTGCATAATAGGGGACCTTTAAAATGTGTGTTTCTGTTTTGTTCAATTAGAAAGAACAACATGTTATATTGTAAGCTAAGAGAAAATAAGTTATAATAATAAGATATCTGTTAGCAGTCATTTCATTCTGCAAAGCACATTTAAAGTTCAGACAGAAGGGAAAACAGAAGTTTGATGGTTTTGTTTTGTAATTATCTGTCAGATGAATTAAATAAACCCTGTTTTTATTAATCATTTCTTATTGTTGTGTATTTATTTATTTGTAAGCTTTACGTTGGATAACATCAAGATGCACCTTCATTAGATCCACGAGGAGGAAATCCAGTTATTGCAACCGGACGGAGAAAAACGCAGGTGAAGTAAAATAAACATAGAATAAAAATCCAAATTATGGAAGACTATTTAGAGGTAAAACAAGTTTACGTAAATATTGTAAATTATGATATATTGTGGGTTATAAGACATAGTTGAGGCTTGGTTGTGTTATAATATAGTAGTATATATATCAATATATATTATAGCAGAGGTGGGAAGTAACTAAGTACATTTACTCAAGTACTGTGCCATCGTTAGCATTACAGATCGCCTACCAGCAGGGTAAGGCTACATAAAGGGTTACACTAGCAATGCTAATTAATGCTAACTGCTAGCTAGCTGGTGAATCTGCAATTCAAAATGTTGTTGAAGGCCTGATAACATTTAAATATCGTCCTCTTGCTGGAGCTTGACTCACTTTATTATTTGAATCATTCCAGAATTTGAGGACATTTAGAAATCAAAACATTTGATTACATGTTTTGTTTTCTGTGTATAAAGTATATTTGAGAAAATATTAAGCCATCAAAAAATGGATCCGTCCAGCTCAGGCATCAATGGTTCACTTTTTATCTGATATTGTATTTGTTGCTTTTAACGGCGCTCAATGGTGGGTTTAAATCATTAGAAATCCATTTTTAAAAGGTCTATTAACCGCTTGATCTAACTATAATTTAGACACAGTTGTGTTCGTCTTAAGTTAATTGTGAAGAGTAAATGTTAATGTGGTTGTAACCTCAACATGCAGAGGCACACATTCTGTATTCTGGGAAAATACAGTAATATATGCAATACATGCAGCAGGGTTATTAGTCCAGAAACAAATATATATATAATAGGGAACAATCTTATGCACCGTTAACACTAGAGTACTTAAATATCTACAAACTTTTTAAATGAGGTTTTGAATGCAGGATGTTTACTGGGTGATTTTCACACTGTGGTTTTAATATGTTTATTTCAATAACTTTGTTGAGCTTGTGTTTAGCTTTGTTTCTATCTCACTGAACATATCTGAACTGGTTCAGCTGATAAGGCTGGTTACGAATCAAGAGGAGGAGCAGACCAAGGGGGAGGGAAGTTGAAAGTGAAAGTATAAAGTCAGACTTGTCAGAGCGCCAGACTCCATTTTACAGCTCGAAGAGCAGGAGGAGAACAGGGTGAGTGTTAACACCAAGATCTGCTTTCTAACACATTATTTACTCTGTTTTACTGGATGTCAGAACATCAGCGTCCTAGAGTCCAAAGAGACTTCTACAAGTGTTGTAAACTGGTTTTATTTCCTGTTTTCTGACTCATCAAAGCAACATAACATGCGACAGCCCAGCGCAGTCAAAATGGGGAGCGGCCTGTCTGAAGTCTGACTGATTTGATGTTTGAACCAAGTGTTAAACTTTCCTGTCGGCTCCCAGACCGTAGTGGAGGAAGCAGGGGTGACTCTCTGCAGTCTTCCAGGGCCGAAGCAACACACTTCGGGTTCAATAACCCACTTTTCAAAAAGGCAGACAGGCGAGCTCTTCTTTGGGAGGCCGTGGCATTTATTAAGGTCTTTGTTACAGGTCTAACTTTGAAGACACTCGACAGACCTTTGCTGCTGTTTCGTTCACTTCAAAAACACACACCACTGCTCGCTCGCTCTACCATACACACACACATGCACGCGCCTCTCTCTCTCTCTTAAAGAGACAGCTGCCTGACTCTGCATGACCCTAATATCATAACACAAGTTTATTATTATGATGGTTATGATTGAAACAAGTGTGTTATTATAATGTGTGTGTGTGTGTCTGTGTCTCCAGTTTTAGTGGTGTATCTCTCAGACTGGAGAAGATGAGTGGTTTAAAAGATGAGGAAGAGGACACATCTTCAGTCTCCAGCTGTCTGTCTCTGAAGAGTGACTGGTCTAAAGATATACCTCTAACCTTCAGTAAAGAACCTGGACCCTCAGACACAAAGTAAGAGTTTCTGCTGTAACCTGACCTGAAGAGGATCCAGTTTTTATGTTATCTGATATATTAAACTGTTTTGTAATGATCGCAGTAAAGAAACTTAGTAACAGTACAGTAACAAAGTTTAAACTCTTGATCCCTGGCGTCATCAGCGATAGTAAATAATCTACATACAGACAGAAGTCAAAATGTGCTCTCTGAATGAACTAATGATGTTTAAAACATGTGTTGTTTCCACAGACAGAGAGCAGAGTCTCCAGTCCCCAGCTGTCTGTCTCTGAAGAGTGACCGGTCTAAAGAGGAAAATCCATACTTCAGTAATGAACCTGGACCCTCAGACACAAAGTAAGAGTTTCTGCTGTAACCTGACCTGAAGAGGATCCAGTTCTTATATAATCTAATATGTTAAACTGTTCTTTAATTATATCATGTGTGCAGTATAGTACAGAACAAAGGCAGCAGAGTTCAGCAAGCTAACATTATTTGAGGATATTTCAATATGCATTTATAGCATCATTGTATCAGTGGCATAAAAAGGTTTTAAATGGCAAAGATATTGATAAATACTCACTAGAAACTAAATATATCGTCCAAAACATGATTTACTACTTGGGCATGTTTGTGATATGTATTTTAAAGATGTTTATTAATAATAGTGATAACCTGGTGAGCTGGTTGTGTTTAGCATTAGCAGATATAACAGAGCTTTGTGTGATTACATGTAGAGTCAATGCAAAGACCCAGATCCGTGCCTGGCAACACCAAGAAAGTGAAGATGTGAAATTCACGTCACCAGCGTATTTGTCTCCGCCTCAGTTTACAGTCCACTGAAATCTACTCGTTATGGCTCACATACACACATTACCCCTTTGCTTCCAAGTCTTGGCACATTATACATAAATACAGATATTCATTTAAACACCCTGACGTTTCCCTGGGTAGTCGGTACAGACAGGTACGCTTACAAATCCGGAACAGGTGCTAGTTAAAAATTAAATATAAAAGAAAACAATAGCCAAAAATAATATGTAAATATAAGAAAAAATGACCATAAAAAGCAGGTGTTTAGAGCTCAGATATCACTTGTGTTATCGGTTTCCATCTTCTCTCAAATGTTTCTAGTTGCAGTCGTAGTCTTGCTGTAGTTTCTTCCATAATAAAGACCTTATTTACTCTGTCTCTCCATTGCGTGATGTTGTGGTTTCAACCTCAAAATTGTAATGATTTTCAACAACCTTCCCACAATTCCTCCAACATAGATCAGACGTTTTATTATATTTTGAGGTGATAGATGGGGTGTTAAAATATCGCATCTTCACCTTCCAATCAAACCACGTTGGACTGTTAGTTCATTTATGTCCAGACCTGAAAGTCTCCTCCCAATCATCATCCGTTATTATTACATTTGCTTCCAGTTCCCATTTTTCTTTAACATCCATATTATTGTCATTGGATTAATCCTGTAGTGCTTTATAGGTGTCTTTGAAATTAGCCCTTTTTTTTACTCTTCCTCTGTAAATGTCATTAGCAATTCTTCGACTTTGGTTGGTTCCTTGCATATTTGTACCCACTCAATATGTTTCTGGAGGTAGTGTCTCAGTTGCAAATATTTATAAAAGTCATTATTTGGTAAAGTAAATTCCTGTTTGAGTTGTTCAAATGATTTAAAAATGTGCCCCTTAAAACTTGTGCTTTAAATATTAACCCCTTGTTTGTCCGTTTCTCGAATCCTGCGTCTATATTACCTGGTATACAATCTGGGTTTGTGGCTATTTTTGTAGCTTTGCTTACAGAGCTTGATATATTATATTTATTTTGTATTGTCGACCATATTTTCATTGTTTCTGTAATGCACTCATTTAGAATCTTAAGGTAAAGAGTCCTTCTTCAGATTTTAACATTAGTGTGTATTGTGCAGCTCGTTAAGTCTAGAGTGCTTTGATCACAGCTTGAAATTCGCCTAAACAAAATAAATGTTAAACCTGCCATAAGTCCCAAACCCTACACTCCTGCGACATCATGTGTTGATGAAAATGTAGGAAAACATCTCTTAGGTTGAAAAATAAAAACATTTAAGTATAGAATTTGAAAAAATGTCTGTTGAGGGCGAGGATGTGACAAAAACTTTTCACATGAAACCCTCTCCTTTCACTGATCACTACACAGCTACAGTCACCATTCAGCTTTTCAAATATTCAGCTTTCTCTGCATTTTCAGCAGGAAATGCCTTTTCTAATCTAACCTGTTCTTTAATGATCGCAGTAAATAAACTTAGTAACAGTACAGTAACAAAGTTTAAACTCTTGATCCCTCGGGTCATCAGCGATAGTAAAACATCTACATACAGACAGAAGTCAAAAACTGCTCTCTGAATGAACTAATGATGTTTAAAACATGTGTTGTTTCCAGACAGAGAGCAGAGTCTCCAGTCCCCAGCTGTCTGTCTCTGAAGAGTGACCGGTCTAAAGAGGAAAATCCATACTTCAGTAATGAACCTGGACCCTCAGACACAAAGTAAGAGTTTCTGCTGTAACCTGACCTGAAGAGGATCCAGTTCTTATATAAGCTAATATATTAAACTGTTCTTTAATAATATCATGTGTGCAGTATAGTACAGAACAAAGGCAGCAGAGCCTTAGCAAGCTAACATTATTTGAGGATATTTCAATATGCATTTATAGCATCATTGTATCAGTGGCATAAAAAGGTTTTAAATGGCAAAGATATTGATAAATACTCACTAAAAACTAAATATATCGTCCAAAACATTATTTACTACTTGGGCTTGTTTATGATATGCATTTTAAAGATGTTTATTAATAATAGTGATAACCTGGTGAGCTGGTTGTGTTTAGCATTAGCAGATATAACAGAGCTTTGTGTGATTACATGTAGAGTCAATGCAAAGACCCAGATCCGTGCCTGGCAACACCAAGAAAGTGAAGAGGTGAAATTCATGTCAGCTGTGTTTTGTTTGTTAGTCTATTAATGAACTGACTCGTGCTCCGTGCTAAAGTGTTAGCCAAGTGCGTATTCGTGCAGCGTGACACATTTCATCTTGAGAGAGACGTTGGTGACGCTCTGCCCTTTGGTGAGAATCAGCTCCACTAATGTAAAGTGCTGTAAAGGATGTGTTCATCTCCACAGAGGGAAGAGGAAGAGTGGTGTTCCTGTGGAGGAGCAGCTGTCCAGCTGTGCTCTGTGTCAGGACGTCCTGAAGGATCCAGTCTCTACCAGCTGTGGACACTGGTTCTGCAGACAGTGCATCACCTCATACTGGGAGCAGAGACCTCCATCAGGAGACCCCTCCTGTCCCCAGTGTGGGAAGAGATCCAGAACCAGAGCTGGACTGCAGACAGCCAGTCAGACCAGAACTGTACGAGGTAAGAGGCCGAACTCACGCAGCGTTTTATTCCTCGTCCTGGTTCCTTTGTTTCTGAATAGGTATACTGTTGTAGAGCAGAGACAGCAAGCTGTTTATACAACATTTAAACTCAGTCTGTTGTTTGTTGTTTTATTGTTATAATTAGATTCTCAGAGCATTTTCCTCATTCTCTCTCGTTTCCTTCTCTTCCAGCAGATAGTGGTCTGCAGGAGGTTCTAGATGAACATAGGCTCAGTCTGAGGAGGAGATGTGAACGTGTGACTGAAGGAACTGGTCAAAGTGAAACCCTCCTCAACAGCATCTTCACTGAGCTCTACATCACACAAGGCCAGAGTGAAGAGGTTAATACCCAACATGAGGTGAGGCAGCTGGAGGCAGCTTCCAAGAAGAAGCCCCTCCATGACACTCCAATCAAGTGCCAGGACATCTTTAAAGCCTTACCGGACCAACAGACTCCCATCAGAGCGGTCCTGACCAACGGAGTCGCTGGAGTTGGAAAAAGCTTCTCAGTGCAGAAGTTCACTCTGGACTGGGCCGAGGGTTTGGGAAACCAAGATGTCAGTCTGGTGATCCCGCTCTCCTTCAGGGAGCTGAACCTGATCAAAGGTGAGCAGTACAGTCTTCTCAGGCTGCTCCATGTTTTCCATCCAACCTTACAGAAGGTCACAGCAGAGCAGCTGGCTGTCTGCAAAGTGCTGCTCATCTTTGACGGCCTGGATGAAAGCAGACTTTCTCTGGACTTCAGAAACAATGAGGTTGTGTCTGATGTCTCACAGCAGTCCTCAGTCAACGTGCTGCTGACAAACCTCATCAGGGGGAAGCTGCTTCCCTCGGCTCTCGTCTGGATAACTTCCAGACCTGCAGCGGCCAATCAGATCCCTCCTGAGTGTGTGGACAGGGTGACAGAAGTACGAGGCTTCACTGACGCCCAGAAGGAGGAGTACTTCAGGAGGAGATCGAGTGATGAAGACCTGTCCAGCAGAATCATCTCTCACATCAAGAGCTCCAGGAGCCTCCACATCATGTGTCTGATCCCAGTCTTCTGCTGGATCACTGCTGCAGTTCTGGACCACATGTTGACTACAGACCAGAGAGGAGAGCTGCCCCAGACCCTCACTGACATGTACTCACACTTCCTGCTGGTCCAGACCAAGAGGAAGAAGCAGAAGTATGAAGAGGGACGTGAGACGAGTCCACAGCAGCTGACGGAGGCTGACAGGGAGCTTCTTCTGAAGCTGGGGAGGCTGGCGTTTGAACATCTGGAGAAAGGACACATCATGTTCTACCAAGAAGACCTGCAGCGCTGTGGCCTTGGTGTCACCGAGGCCTTGGTGCACTCAGGAGTTTGTACAGAGATCTTCAAAAGAGAGAGTGTGATCTTCCAGAAAACAGTCTACTGCTTTGTTCATCTGAGCATTCAGGAGTTTCTGGCTGCAGTCTACTTGTTGCACTGTTACACCAACAGAGACAGAGAGGTACTGAAGGACTTCCTGCAGGGAGACTTTAACAACAGCAGAGATCAGGATTACTCATCCCTGGATGTCTTCTTGAAGGGAGCCATGCAGAAATCCCTCCAAAGTGAAAATGGCCACCTGGACCTGTTTGTCCGCTTTCTCTACGGCCTCTCTCTGGAGTCCAACCAGAGACTGTTAGGAGGCCTGCTGGGTCGCACAGACAACAGACCAGAAACCATCCAGAGAGCCATCAGCAACCTGAAGGAGATGAGCAGTGATTCCTCTCCTGACAGGATGATCAACATCTTCCACTGTCTGACAGAGATGAAGGACCTCTCAGTACATCAGGAGATCACAGAGTTCCTGAAGTCAGAGAACAGATCAAAGAAGGAACTCTCTGTGATCCACTGCTCTGCTCTGGCCTACATGCTGCAGATGTCAGAGGAGGTTCTGGATGAGTTGGACCTGAATCAGTACAACACATCACCTGAGGGACAACGGAGACTGATTCCAGCTGTGAGGAACTGCAGGAAGTTCAAGTAAGTCCAGATGTGATTAACTTTATAAACTAATGTGGAGCAGGAGTTTAATTATTCAAATAAACACGATAACATTTCTGCTGTTTAAATACTGAGAGAGCAAAATAAAACCAACACTGTTCTTCTATTTATTTATAATGATAGTTAAACTGAAGCGTTCCTCTCTTCATATTGAGTGAAGGAGGCGACATGTCGAACACATGAAGGACTTGAGAGGTTTCTCAGCATGTGATCACACCACACAGCAGGACTTACAGTTATCACAGAAACATGTTATTATTACTTTCTAGTAGTTTCTTTATCATTAAACAGACACACGTTTTGATCACAATATGTTAGTTTAAAATCAGATCTATATCATTTCCCACCAACAACAGAGTTATGTCTTAATGAAGATATACTGGGAACATCTGATGGTATCAAGTTGAACACATTGAATCTTTATTGGTTTGTTAATTGTGTTTGTGTGCGCAGTAAATGTTCAGATGCTCAGAGAAGCCAAAACATCCTTCATCCATCATTCACATCCAAATATTAACTAACATTTAAATATGTTCATCTCTAATATCGTCAAGTGATTCATTTCATTTCTGTTTCTTTAGGTAACAGTCAGTGACAGCAGGAGCACAGACATGTGATCAGATCACACTGACAACTCATTACACTCTATTATAATATATTATATTAAATGGACTAACAGCAAAGGTCTATCAGAACATGCCAAATATTTTTTCATCGAATGCTTGATGTTAATATATTGTTTCCTCCTTTAACACATGTTTTAATATATGTTTTATTATAGACTTACTCTCTGTGGACTCTCAGAGACTGACTGTGAAGTCGTGGTCTCTGCTCTGAAGTCTGACCCCTCCCATCTGAGAGATCTGGACCTGAGTCTCAACCCTCTGATGGATTCAGAAGTGGAGCGTCTGAGTTCTGGACTAAAGAGTCCAAACTGCAGACTGGAGGCTCTCAGGTCAGTTCACCGACTGCAGTTCATATTGATCTGTTTGTGTTTATGATTTTCTGAATTTGAACAAATACAATGTTATTGTTATTTGTTCCGTTTCTGCTAATGACTGAATATTGATCAGAGTAACAGAGAGAAGGTGAATGTGTGAGGGAGAGAGTTTGAGCTTCCACAGACTCACCCTGTGCTCCAGGAGTCAGTGGAGATGCTGTCAGTACTGAGGAGCTGTGAGGGAGAGGAAGGAGTTGTTCAACATCTGATCAAAGTTAGAGTTCCAGATTATCAGTGGATTGTTTCTGCATCATCTCTGACATTAAAACCCTGTTTGACTCTGAACAGATTATTAAACCTGGAGTTATTTCAAACAGGAACTTTGTTTTCTAAAGTGACATCATGTTTTCTTTATTCAGTCTGTGGGGCTGCAGTTTGTCAGAGATCAGATGTTCTGCTCTGATCTCAGCTCTGAAGTCCAACATCCATCTGAGACATCTGGAGCTGAGTCTCAACGCTCTGCAGGATTCAGGAGAGGAGCTGCTGAGAGACCTTCTGGAGAGTCCAGACTGCAGACTGGAGACTCTCAGGTCAGTTCACTGACTCTCTGTTACTGCTGGAGATCTCACATGTTCACTTTGTAACTGAACCTCATTTATATTCATTAATAACTAACATCCATAGAGTTATAAATGTCCTTTTATTCATATTTAATTTTTAAGAGTAAGAACTGCAGACATACATGTTGACTGTCTCTTAAAGTAACTTTAATAGATGTTAGTTGTAAAAAGTAAATCTGTTTTTAATATTTAGTAAACGATAACGTCTGAATGAAGGTCATCTGAAGTAATTTTAGTTTTACATGATAAAGTTCACTTTCTGAAGTAGACAGATGTTTCTGTTCATTCATTTAAATGTTGAGAAACATCTGATTGGATTATAAACAGATACTTATCCTCATCATGTTTTCTTTATTCAGACTGAGGTACTGCAGTTTGTCAGAGATCAGCTGTTCTGCTCTGATCTCAGCTCTGAAGTCCAACCTCCATCTGAGAGAGCTGGACCTGAGAGAGAGCGATCTGCTGGATTCAGGAGTGGAGCTGCTGAGAGATCTTCTGGAGAGTCCAGACTGCAGACTGGAGACCCTCAGGTCAGTACGGGGTCTCTGCTGGTTC